CGTTCGGGGTCTAAATTCCACGCATCACAAGCTTCTGAACTCAGCCCAAGTCGAGTTACCGGCATAGAAACGGCCACTTTGAAGCCAATTTGATCCGCACAAAGCAGTTCAGCATTATATCTAAGCCATAAAATAATTCAACCTTAAATTAATTAATAATTTAATATAAAAAAAATATGACATTATTTAAATGGTTGAACATACTTAAAATGTTTCACCTCAGCCAAATCTCGATTTAGCATCATAATTGGAGTCTGAACTGTCGATGGTGTAGGCTTTGCAGCTGAAGAACCTCCAGCAGAACGAGCAAATTTAATTAAAGAGTTCATAGAGAGTTCTTTTGGAAGAGAAATCTTGAAATGTTCGCATAGTTTAGATACGATAGTTGCCACAACTTCGCTCACCGATTTTTTATCGATGCAGACGTTAGATAAGCACTTTGCAGCTATTCAAATAAATTAAAATCAGAAGATAAATATAAATGGTTTATAGGAATAAAATTAAAAGATTATAAAAGACACATACCAGTATTAGATTCATCATCATTTGCATTGTCCACACATATAAATGCACTGAACGAAGATGGATAAGACTGTAAAGATGAATCTTGGAAAGTCAACAAAGAAAAAAGAAGCTTCGCACTTAAATTATCGGATTTAAAATAAAATAAAATAAAAAGGCAAGAATTGGGAAGTTAATTTTAATAATAAGAGACCCTACCATTGACAAAGATCTGTACAGTAAACGATTTTCCAGTCTTGTATGTAAACTTGAAACTTAATTCCGGATCCGAAAAATCAAAGTCTAATAAAGAAATATAATCAATAATGTTCAGTAGTCTTAATGCGCGAAAAGATTAAGTACCAATTGAAAAAGACAGTAGTCAAAGGTGACTAGTTGTTGATCAGTACCTTTTACCAAAGCGGCACTTTTAGAACTTAAGCCACGAAAATGTTCTTTAAGCGTCTTGACATCCTGAATGAATTCTTTGCGGCCCATTCTTCAAGATCTTCAATTTACGAACTTCAGAACTTTTAGATCAATGTGGAAGAAGTCAAACAGTATAAAAAAAATATATATATTCAGGATCGTTTGTAAACGACGATCTAAAATTGACGCAATAGATTGGACGTGTCTTGTCACTAATGAGGTAATGTAATTTACAAATTCAAAAGTTATTTTATAATTCTGTAGCATTCTCGCGTTCAATCGCATTCACCATTAAATTCCCATTAATAATGTCACCGGAAAAAGTAATACCTTTTTAACAAATGCCACGTATATCAAAGTTACGGATGCGAACAGTAGAGTCAATGGGAAATGCTAGTTGAAAGAGAGCAACTTTTAAGTCCTAACCAAATAGCACAGATATACGGAGAGCTCTTGTACGGGGTTCAACGGCCGTGTTGACCTTAGGAATTCAAAAATTGGACGGTTGAATATCCGTAAACTCCGGTGAATCCAATTATATCATAAGACTTTTTGAATCTCTCATTTCTTTTATACATTCGTACTACGCTACCGCAGTTTAATTGTTAGATTACTTGATTGCGTCATATAAAAAAATTTAAAAATATTACTACTTCACTAGGTATGTGCACAGGTACGTGCGTTAGACTCTCGAGTTTGTGTTACGATAACATGTCATTTTAATCGGAGAATAAAGGTTGCACAGTGTTAGTTTGGATCAATAATAATAAGCAATAACAATAATGGCAATAGCAATGGCAATTACTGTGCTTTGAAAGTCGAATAAAAAAAGAAAATTACATTCAAGTATATAAACAAAACCAAGTCCAAGATCAAACATATAATTTTAGTCATTATGTTTAAATTTTTCTCATGAACAAATGATTAACAATTGACATTTTTAAATAATTCAATGTATTGTAATCAACTTTCCATCCATTTATATGAACCCATTATCAGGTATTGCTTAGGTAGGCGACCGGGACACGGTGTTAGAATAGTCATCTTTTGTTTGACCGTATCAACTTCTGAACTGCAGTATTGATGATAATCATAGATAGAGTTAGAATGTAAAAAAAAGTGTTGTCTTACGAAATTCAAGATAAAGTAAACGAAATGTGTATATATACACGTATATAAAGCCAATAATATTAGATTCTAGTAATGTTTGTTCATCCGGACTATTAGCGGCAGTAAGTGCTAAAATGGAATGACGTATAGTATCATCAGGCTCCACCTTTACTAATTGAGTCTCACTGACTTTCCTGTCGATCCCGATTGGCAAAGCAGACGAAGGTGCCAATGATCCTAATGCCACGTGGTGTGCAAAATGTCGATTTGTTACAAAAACTCAAAGAAGTTACACTAATAAATTCTAATGTTAATACCAACCAACTCCTACTCGATATATTGTTATGTCGTTTAAATTGATCAATGTTGAACAGGGTGATAACTCAAATTTGGGCAGACCATAAAAATATTCTCGAATTTTGCGCATTTGAACCTGGCGGCGGAAAACTTTTCCTCTATCAACTACCTGCGTATAATTAAATTTCAATATTTCTTTAATTTAAAAAGTTTTCACAACAACAATAATAATAAAAAGACTTGCCCCGCCAGATTTAGCTAGTTTCAAGATGTCGATGTTAGAACGATCCTTATATAGCCTTGCCATATCGCTATACAATCTCTCGTGACCAAGTACAATAATAATGTTCACTAGAGAGATAGAATCAAAATCTTTAATCGAAATTTCATGTAATACAACTACAATGAAGGTAAATTCAAGATAAATTCAAGTTAACTTGCCATCAAATATATCCACGCAATGTTGAATAATCTCGTAGCCTGTATTGTCTATAAGACCACTAGTGTCTATCACCATACCCGAAATCCTAGCTGCAAAAGATATTTGAATAGAGTTATAAACTGTTGTTATACATGATGATGTATAAAAGGAAAAAATGAAAAGCTCTCGCACCATCCTCATCTTCAGCTATACGGCGCTTAACAGACTGTGCCAATTTTGTTGTTAGTACTTTATAAAGCTTGACATTCTCTCCCGGATCAGAATACCCATAATAATAAACTATTGGGAGCAATGAAGATCCTAACGATGGTGAAGTTGTTGCTGAAGAACCAAATCCCTCTTCAACGTCTATTATTTGATTAATTGGGGTCGCAGTCAAAGTACCAGGCATTGTAATAGAACCCTATGTAATTATGTAATTTTTGAATATATTAAAAAAAAAACGTCGATAACTTTAAGTCATCACATTACTTAATTAACTTGCCTCGTTTACATCAAGGTCAACAAATATGGGTTGTCTGCTTTGGCGCAGT